CTGCCTGTATCCTAGAGAGGTTTCTGAGTGAAAGAGTAGAACACTGTCAGGAAGGAACGGCCCTTCTTTGCGGCCCAGCCTGTGTCCAGCTGGACGTGGAGACGAGAGACCGGGGCAGTGCTCTGGCAACTGTAAGAGAAGCACAGTCCTGGAGTGAAATGAATGACTGCTGGACGGACAAAAACTAATGCCCACCCCAGTTAGCAGTTTAGGCTGGCCATGTGGCAGACTGAGAGCTTGAATCACTGGAGGCATGTTCTGGAATATTCTTCAAAGGGGAGAGAGGTGGCAAGTTCTTCAGGGCCAATTCCTAGGGATTCCCTCTTGCCTTTTCAGTAGGCTTTGGAGGGGTTTCAGGAATGGGATTTCTGGTGAACTTATACTTACCTTCCCTTTCCAAAAGTGTGTTTTTCTGGTCAGAGCAAACTCAAAACGTGTCCTTAGGAGTTGTGGAGGTCTCACGGGGGCAGAGCCTCTGCTCTGCATCTGTAGAACCTGGGTTTGTTGCCTGCTCACTACCAGGGGAGCCCTGGCAGCCTCTGAGCTCCTCTGGCTCTGGTCCTGGTGACCCCCAATTACCAATGTGGTGACCCCAGTGAATCTTATCAGCGCAGGGTCGAGGCAGCTCCACATTGAACCAAATGAGCTCCCTGAGCACTGTTTGGGAGCACCCTAACCCACCCACACTTGATCACTTGACATCCCGTTACTCATCGATTTGCTCGAGTGGGTGTCAGTAGCGTCTCCATTCGTCCCTGTCGCATGCTAGTGTAGCCCAATGGCGTCTGCTCGTTCTAGGAAAACAAAGAGCCTCAAACCGATTATTCAGGATCTTGACGAAGAAGTCTGACCATCTTGTAGGTGGGCGGCCACGCGATCTTTTGATGTCCCGTGGAATCCAGTTGCTAATGGCTCTAGTCCAGCGGTCGTCTCCAAATCTTATTACGTGTCCAGCCCATCTGATATTTGATGCCTTGGCAAACGAGACAGCATCCCTAATTTTTGACCATCAATGGAGTTGGAACTCTGGATTCTTTCTCTCATTTGAGTGAAGTGTGATACTCCAAGCATAGCTCTTTCGATTCCTCTTTGGGAGACCCCAATAGCGTTCTCATCCTGTTTCGTAGGGCGTATGTCTCTGAGGCGTATGTTAATGCAGAAAGAACAGTGGAATCGAAGAGCTGTGCCCGGAGCCGGAGGTTCTTCGTCCTCTTAGCTATTTCTTCAACACTCTTGGAGATGTTCCAAGCCGCTCTCTTCCTCCTGCGCAACTCAGGTGTCAGGTTATTCATCATGTTGACTTCTCGATCTAGGTACACATAACTGTTGCATTTGGAGATGGTCATTCCATTGAGAGCGAATGGAACGTCAGGAACGAGACTGTTTCTCATAAACATTGTCTTTGTGAGATTCAGCTGGAGTTCGACCTTTCCACACTCATGGTCGAAGTTGGCCAGCATTTGTGCTACTTGGCTAATCTTTGGTGTTATTAGAACAATGTCATCAGCAAAGCGGAGATGGTGTAGTTGCTGACCATCTATCTTCACTCCCATTCCTTCCCGTTCCAGTCATCGCATGATGTTCTCGAGGGTGGCACTGAAGAGTTTTGGTGAAATAGTATCACCCTGCTGAACCCTTCTCTTGACATGGATGATCACTTCTTTGTAGAATGGTGAGATCCTGGTAGTGAATCCATAATACAGCTCACGAAGGATCCTGATGTATTGAGTTTGAATGCCCTGTTTGGCTAGGGCTTTGATGACTGCTTCCGTCTGTCTCAACAGAATCAAAGGCCTTCTTTAAATCAATGAACTTTAGACAGTGGCATCTTGAACTCCCAAGAAACCTCAATGAGCTTGGTTATCGTGTGGATATGGTCCATCGTGCTGAATCCTTTGCGGAACCTGTCTTGCTTGAATGGTGGTCCTTCATCTAGTGTTCTGCCAGTCCTATTCAGGATGACTTGAGTGAACAGCTTGTAGACGACAGACAACAAGCAGATCGGGCGATAGTTGCCAATGTCATGGAAGTCTCCCTTCTTGTAGAGTAGTACAGTCCTGCTGGTTTTCCATTGCGACAGAACCTTGCATTCAGACAGGTAGCGCGTGAAGAGCCGAGCCAGTGTATTGATGAGTACTGACGAGGTGTTTGGGTCTGACCTTGTCTGGTCCAGGAGCTGTTTGCTTCTTTACTGACAAAATGGCGTGTCGGATTTCAAAAGGGAGAACATTGGGAACGACATATCCATTCTGCGGAATTTGGTATGTGTGCAGGTGGACGTGGTTATGGAAGAGATCCAAGTAGAAGTCATGGATAATCTTCTCCACTACCCTTCTGGAAGATGTGATAGATCCATCAGGACTGCCCCCCGCCCCCCCCCACACACAAAAGAATAAAATGATGTTTGCAGAGAGCAGTCTGGATTAACAAGCCGGGTCCAGTGGGCTCGAGGCACGCTGTGCTGTGAACCTCGGAGCAGCCTCCCTTTCCACTCTCTGCCCGCCCCCCTGCCCCCCCACTTTCCTTCTCTCATCCCAGCCCTGTTTCTCAGAACCCCCAATACCCGCTGCCACCCCCAAGTCTCTCAGTTTCTCCGACTCCCAGAGAAGCAAGGTCTGGAGAAGCCATTCTCCTTCGAGGGCAGAGGATTAAAAAGAAAGATCCGCCTCCCCTTTCCTGCCCCCCAGCCCGGACTCCAAAATCAGATGAAGGGGGGCTGCAAGGTGGGGGTGCAGGAGAGCTGAGGCTTTGGAGTCAGTTGTGGGGCGGATCCTGTGAGTGCCCTGTCTGGGGTGTGTCTGTCATGCTGGTGCCCCCGCCCTGCCTGCTGACTCCTCGGCCCCCAGAGCGGCTGCGCAGAGCTCCTCCAGAGACCTGTGTGCAGGTGACAGTAACGTCACACCCTGGTCCCCTGAGAGAGCTGTGTTTTTTGTCTTTCCTGGCACTGTAACAGGAGAAAGGAAGATGTTAGGGGAAGTGCCCTCCAGATGATTCCAGAAGAGCAGACGGTAGTCTGGTTTCTTCAGAACCAAACCTTTCCTGGGTGCTGAATGGCCTGCCTGACCGATGGGTGCGCCCTAGGCTGGCCCCTGGCCTCTGAGTAATAGTGTACCTGTGTTTGTGATTGGTATTTGCCGTGACTCCCGAGCGGGGAAGCCAGTGAGTAACCGGGTGAGACAGCACAACACGGTGTTAATAACAGCCAGCAGACCCGAGCGGGCGCTCTCACGTGCCAGGAACGGGGCTCAGAGGCTAGTAAGTCTCATTTTATTACCTGCTCTCCCTTTGGGGAAGGCGCTTTTATGTCTGATGCATCTGCAGTGTCATTGCTCCACTTCACAGACCAGCAGACTGAGGCTTGGGAAGAGAACCTTGTCCTGCGTCATCCTGTAAGCCAGTGGCAAGGCCGGGATTGGTCCACGCATCCTGTTCCCAAAGCTCAGTCCTGTCTGAAGTTGGCAGGGATGTAAAGAACCAGGAGCTGGTCCTACTCCTGTCAACTCACTCGCACATTCATTCATTCATTCATTCACTCACTCATTCATGGGATGCCTACTTGTGCCAGATTTGAGCAGTAGCTGATGGCTTAAGTCCCTCTAGTTGTATTAGCTGTTCAGGGCTTGCTCCTGGCTCTGCTCTCAGGAACCACTCCTGGTCAGGCTCAGGGAATCCATATGCATGCACTATCCACTGTACTCTCTCTCCATCCCTGTGGCTAGAAGTTCTTCCTTCCTTCCTTCCTTCCTTCCTTCCTTCTTCTTCTTCTTCTTCTTCTTCTTCTTCTTCTTCTTCTTCTTCTTCTTCTTCTTCTTCTTCTTCTTCTTCTTCTGTCTTCTTTCTTGTTTTTCTTTCTCTTTCTCTCTTCTCTCTTTTTCTTTCTTCTCTTTTTCTTTCTTTCTCTCTTTCTTTATTCCTCTTTCTTTCTTTCTTTCTTTCTTTCTTTCTTTCTTTCTTTCTTTTTGCGTCACACCCAGCGATGCACAGAGGTTACTCCTGGCTCTGCGCTCAGGAATTACCCCTGGTGGTGCTCAGGGAACCATATGGGATGCTGGGAATCGAACCCAGGTTGACTGCGTACAAGGCAAACACCCTACTTGCTGTGCTATTGCTCCAGCCCCTCTTTCTTTCTTTCTTTCTTTCTTTCTTTCTTTCTTTCTTTCTTTCTTTCTTTCTTGTTTTTCTCTTTCTCTTTCTTCTCTCTTTTTCTTTCTTTCTCTCTTCTTTCTTTCTTTCTTGCTTGCTTGCTTTCTTTCTTGCTTTCTTTCTTGCTTTTTGGGTCACACCTGGCGATGCCCAGGGGTTACTCCTGGCTCTGCACTCAGGGATCACCCCTGGCGGTGCTCAGGGAACCATATGGGACACTGGAAATCGAACCTGGGTCGGCTGTGTCCAAGGCAAACGCCCTACCCGCTGTGCTATTGCTCCAGCCCCTCTTTTCTCTTTCTTTCTTTCTTTCTTTCTTTCTTTCTTTCTTTCTTTCTTTCTTCCTTCCTTCCTTCCTTCCTTCCTTCTTTTTTTTTTTTTTTTTTTTTTGCACCACACTCCGCGACGCTCAGGGCTCACTCCTGGCTCTGCACTCAGGAATTATTTCTGAGAGCGTATGGGATGCCCAGGATCTGAACCCGGCGTGGCCGGGTGCCAGGCAAACGTTCTCCCGCTGTCCTATCACTTTCTTTTTCTGCAAGCCCTTTGCCTTTGAAGAGCTCTCAGACGGTTTTAAATCTCCCAGTGTCAACAGGCCACTGCGTTCCGGCAGCCAAGTGTACCTACGGGGAGGCCAGCACACCCCAAGTTTCCAGATTCTGTCGGTCAGTAGCTCCACTCGCAAGAGGGTCAGCGGACTGGTCCAGGGCGCCCCCCCGGGGGGTGGAGGGCGAGGAGGGGGGTGACCGGGAGGCATGGGGTGGGGTGGGGTGACGCCGAAGCCCGCGCGGACTGTCCCTGGGGCCCGGGCAGTGCCCGGCTGCCCGGCGAGGCCGGTCATTAGCCAGGCAGCGGGGAGGGGCCGGGTGACCTCACTCGCCGGACTCTGCGGCCATTAAACCGGCCACTTCCCAGGCCAGCCGGCCGTCCTGCTCCTGCCGCCGTGCGCCAGGTGGGTGGAGCGGTCCCTCCCGAGGCTTGGGGCGCCCGGGCGGGCACCCGAGGGCGCTGCGGGGGTGGGTAGGGAGGCCGGGTGAGCGGGGTAAACAAGTCGGGGCGCGGCCTGCAGGGTGCGGGCCAGCCCCGCGCTGACCGTCGGGACGCACTGGGCGCCGCCGGGGTGGGGGCTTGGGGTCTCGGGGTCCCGCCTTCCGAGAGTGACACGCACCCCGGCTCCCCCCGCCCTGCCCAGGCTCCTCCCGCCGCCGCTGACACTGAGGGTCCCGGAGGAGAGAAGATGCGCGCGCTCATTGTAAGTGGGCTGGGGGTGGGGTGTGGCGGGGTGCGGGGCCATCCCGGAGGACCTGGCGGGGCGGGGGTGGGGGCTGGCGGGGCAGCAGGTGTCCGGCGGGGTCAGCCAGCGACCACTTGTTGCAGCGGCTCGGGGCTTGCGCCGGCGCGCTGGGTCCGGCTGGGGGTTCCAGGCTGGACGCTGCTGCCCCGCGGGAAGGCGGCGGTCACCAGCCACCCCGCGTCCGCTTCCGTTCCCCCAGGCACCCCGAGCCACGCCTGGGGCTGTCGGAGGCTGCCTCTGTCATCCTGTCCCGCAGCACACTCGCCGGGTCACCTGCCAGGAAGTTCTTTTTTGCTAGCGTGATGGGTTCCATGTGGGGGCGGAGAGACAGTCCACTGCCAGGAGTGACCCCCGAGCACAGAGCCAGGAGTCAGCCCTGATTTACCCAGGGTGTGGCTCCCCAACAAAGAAAAAAGAAAAAACATAAAAGGACTTAGCTTAACCTTCAGCCCTGAGAAAACGGCTGGGGTTTTTTTTTTTTAGTTGTTGTTTATCTTTTTGGGTCATATCCAGTGATGCTCAGGGGGTATTCCTGTCTCTGTGCCCCAGGAATCGCTCCTGGCTGTGCTTGGGGGATCATGTGGGATGCCAGGGATGGAACCCGAGTCCGCCGGGTGCAGGGCAAACTCTCTACCCGCTGTACTATTGCTCCGGCCCCACAGCTGGGGGTTTCCAATCGAGTTCCAATCCGCTTTCCCCCCTCTGAGATCAGACATTGATGCAGTGCCTGAAATAGGGCTTCCTGGTCCTCTCCAGTCCCTCAGGAACTCACTATTATTGTTATTTGACCGACATCCAGAGTTCCTGGGATCTAAAGTATCCCTCTTCACGTGGTAAATCACAGTTATAATAAAAAATATATATCCCTCTCCTCTGGGGGCCAGATTGATAGTATAGCCGATAGGGCACGTGCTCTGCTCACACCCCACCAGATTCCACCCCCAGCACCCCACGTAGTCCCCCATGCCCATCAGGAGTGATCCCTAAGTGCAGAGCCAGGAGTAAGCTCTGAGCATCACTGTGTGTGGCCTAACCCTCCTCTCCCAATAATAATAATCAAATAAAATATCCCTTTCTTCTGTCTGCGTCCTTGTTTTCAGTCATAATCCTGAAATGACAGTAATAATGTCGAGAACAGAAACAATGCAAACCTTTTTTTAATTGACTAGTGTATGTAAAATCATGCAGTGAAAACAATAAATGTAATCGAGTAAAAGCAGAACAGCAGCAGACTGACCATTTTTAATAGTATTATTGTATTTTTGGAAAAAAAAAGGAAAAACAAGGGGCTGAGAGTTAGTGTAGGGATTAGGGTGCTTGCCTGGCACACTGTCGACTCTGGTTCGATCCCTGGCACTGCATTTGGACCCTCAAGCACCGCCAGGAGTGATCCCTGAGCACAGAGCCAGGAGGAAACCCCGAGTTCCATGGAGTGTGGCCCAATGCACCCCCAACCTCCAAATCAAGGGGGTAAAACATTCCTAGGCATAGGTCGGTTGCAGTATTGAATAATAATACTTTCTGTCAATTTCTGAATACCCGACAGGGCTTTGTCAAGATGACTCTTTGCATAATTGTGTACAGTATTTCATCAAGCTCTATTTAGCAACTCCTTTGCCCGCAGTTCAGTGAAGAATTGAATTGTGAAAGCTTCATTCACATGGAAACAGATATACAGATACAAAAATAATTTTTTTTTTTTTGCTTTTTTGGGTCACACCCAGCGATGCTCAGGGGTCACTCCTGGCTCTGCACTCAGGAATTACTCCTGGCAGTGCACAGGGGACCATATGGGATGCTGGGAATCGAACCCGGGTCGGCCGCGTGCAAGGCAAACGCCCTACCCACTGCTATTGCTCCAGCCCTCAGATACAAAAATCTTTATTTTATTTTTATTTTTTAAATTTCAGCATGTTTTATTTATATCTATTAAAACATGCCATGGTTATTTTTATAGGAACAGCATTGAATTTGTATAGTGGTTTTTGTTTATTTTATTTTATTTATTTTTTTCCTTAAATTTTTATTAGTGAAACACCAAGGGTCCGTCTCTCCTCTCCTTGTCGGACAAGCATATGAGCATATATGATATAAATCATTTTGTATGGATACAGTGAGAAATATCTTAAACTTGTAGAATTGCTCTCCTAGGGCCATCTCGATCTCAGACTACAGTGCTCAGGCCAGATAGTCTTTCCCACCCCTAGCAGGATCCTAGTCTCGTCGTTACCTTTGGATCATGACAGCATTTGTCTATGATCAAACTCTTAACCTATAGTTAAGAATCGTGGCACTTTGGCCTGGCCCATCTCGCTGCCAGGGTAGCTCACCGCTTGCCCTGGGTCCATTCAGTCTCTTGTCGGGACCCTGCTTTTGGGGTGTTAGGAACTAAGGGCAACTGAGGCTTAAGTTGAGAAAGCAGATGCCTGGGAGTGAATAATATTCAAAGCCAATCAAATCCTAAGTTACAATGCATAATGTTAACGGCCTTCCTGTATCTATACAAAAAGGATATTGCTTTAAAGTAAACTGTTCATAAGGCATAAGGAGGAAAAAGGCAATATTTCACTTATACATATAAAATCATAGATTTCTGGGAAACTGATCTTACAGTCTGATTAAGGGGAAAGCTGATTAACTGGGTGGGGAAGAGAGCATAGGGAAGACTGTTTACAGATAAACACAATGGAGTGGAAGTGCCTCAGGAGCACTGTGATGGGTGTAACCAGATTGATGGGTATAACCAGATAAACCTAAGATTCTTGTGGAAGAAGGACAAAGCAATGCCACCCTACATATCCCCCTTTTTAGTTTACAAAAACACAAAAATTTGAAATAGAAAGAGTAACGATTACAAACACAAAAGTCTCATTTGATAACAATTTGAAGTTGTTTCTGCAACAGCAACAGTATTAACCTAAAATATTTGGAGCTATATTCCAACAGGTGATTAAACCCAGGATCTCATATACATGCAGAGTATCCCACTCTATCACGGAGCTACATCCCTTATGTCTTAAAAAAAAAATCCAGGCTGGGAATGCAGTTCAATGGGGAGTTACGTACCTTACACATGTGAGACGCTGAGCTTCATTCCTGGTACCCTAATAGATAAAGTCAAATAAAATCCTAGCAATGTTTTCTTTGTGGGGATGGGGTTGGGTCCATACCCTGAAGTGCTCAGAGTTTACTCCTGGCTCTGTGCTCAGGGATCATTCCTGGTGCTGCTCAAGGAACATTATAGTGTGTTGGGGCTGGTCTCCAGGTCGGCCACAAGCAAGAGAAGCGCCCAGCCCACTCCACTATTTCTCAGAAATCTTAGCAGCTTGTTTAGTTTTGGGGTAACACCCGCTGGTGTTCAGGACTTCCTCCTGGTTCTGTGCTCAGGGATCACTCCTGGTGGGTCTCAGGGAACCATAGAGATGATGGGGATTGAACACTGGTCGACCGTGTGCGAGGCAGGCGCCCGCCCCGCTGGACGTTTCTTCAGCCCTGGTCTCTTTCTTTTTAAACACAGGAAAACAGAGGCCCTGAGGGCTGACCACACTAGCCACGCAGTGTGTGACCCCGGGCTGCTTGACACAGTTAGAGTTGCCAGTTGAATGGACACGAGTAGCTGAGTGTGTGCGTGTGTATGTGTGTGTGTGTGTGTGTGTGTGTGTGTGTGTGTGTGTGTGTGTGCGTGCCTAGGCTGGCCTGGCAGCCCGGCCTAGCCTGTTCTCTGATTAAACCTCCGCACAGATCACCTTGGTAAAGCTTTAGGAAGGCTTGCTTTGAGGTTCACCTTGACACATGATGGAACCTCAAATGTTAACTAGTACCAGAGCACTTGGACCAATTAGAGTAGCTTTATGGAAAGAGCAGTATGTGGTCGTTTTGGGGTCACACCTGCTTGTTGTTTTGGGGTCATGCCCAGTAGTGCTCAGGCCTTACTTCTGACTCTGCTCAGGGATCAGTCCTGGCAGTGCTTGGGGGACCCTCTGGGATGTCGGGGATTGAACCTAGGTCGGCCGTGTGCCAGGCATACGCCCTCCCCACTGTGCTATGGCTCTGGCCCCGGAAGAGCAGTATTAAATCACGGATATTACTGAAACGTGGCGGCATGAGGGACAGTAAGGCAGACTTGTGGCGTGTCTAGATTGAAAATCCCACGGGGCTGGAGAGATAGCACAGTGGGTAGGGCATTTGCCTTGCACGCAGCTGACCCCGGTTCGATTCCCAGCATCCCATATAGGGTCCCCTGAGCACCGCCAGGAGTAATTCCTGAGTGCATGAGCCAGGAGTAACCCCTGTGCATCACCAGGTGTGACCCAAAAAGTAAAAAAAAAAAAAAGAAAAAAGAAAAAAGAAAATCCTCTATGAACAACTCACCTCTGTTTGGAAACACAGCTCCCGTCCCTCTGTTCCCCAGAACATGCAGTTGCCCAGTTCTTAGGGTTCTTTTGGGGAGGTTCGGGGTTGAATGTTGGGCCCCACTCCACAGTGCTCAGGGGTTATTCCTGGCTTTGTCCTCAGGACTGACCCCCTAGTGGTGCTTGGGGGAACCACATGTGGTGCTGGGGTTTCCAACCACTTGCAGGAGGACTCCCGCCTCTGACTGTCCGGGCATGGTTCTTAAAGCTCACATGGCCCTGCACTCTCAGTGCACCCCAGGATTCCTGGGGTCAGACCCGACACTTCTGTTTCTAAGGTGGGAGCCCCTCCCCCCATGGCTCCCATACCCTGCAGCCAAGTGGCCACGAGACCCCAAGGTCTGGGAGATGCCTTGGCCTGCCTGGGCTCTGAGAGAGATCTTGGATGTTTCTGTCAGTGGGCTGCAGCCAGACACCCTGCAGCAGGACGGGGCTCTGGGGGGCTGAGCAGGAAGCAGGGTGTCCCCCAGTCTCTGCCACCGGGCAGAGTTGGGGTGTTGGGGGATGCAGAAGGAGGGGGAGCTCCTCTTGGGGGGACGTTTGAGG